GGGTACGTCAGCAGTGGAACGGCTGTCAGCTGCTCTTTTAAGGTATTAAATGCTCTTTGGCAGTCTTCTGTCCATTTGAACCTAAAATATTTCTTCGTCAGTGCTACTAGGGCTATAGCAATTCTCGAGAATGCTGGGATGAATCGTCTGTAGTACCCTATAACCCCTATAAAGCCTCTTACTTGTCTCACTGACTTAGGTTCTGGCATTTCCCTTATAACTTTCACCTTATCCATGTCAGGCGTAATGCCTTCTCCATTTATAACAAAGCCCAAATATCTAGTCTCATCCTTCAGAAACTGACATTTTCATAATTTTAATTTTAAACCGTGCTTTCTTAGTCTTCCCAACATTTGTTTTAGATGGAAAAAGTGTTGTTCTGGTGTTTCTGAAAATATCAGAATATCGTCTAAATATGCCATAGCAAAACTCTTGCATCCCCCTAACACTATTGACATAAGTTGCTGGAATATTACCAGGGCATTAGCCAAACTGAATGGCATCATCCTGAACTGAAACAGTCCCTGGTGGTACGCAAATACGGCTTTTTCCTTGTCAGCCTCATCAAGGGCTACCTGCGAATACCCGGACCTCAAGTCCAACATGGAGAAATACTTCGCTTTCCCTGATAATGCCAATATGTCATCAATTAGTGGCAATGGCACTGCCAAAGGCTTAGAGATGGAATTCAGTTTCCTAAAATCTACACAAAATTGTGCCTGCAATCTTTCTTTTATCACGATTGGGAAGCTTCTATTATCACGATTGGGAAGCTTCAAGGGGAAATTGGTCTTTCTATCATCCCAGCTTCCATCTCTTTCACTGACTCTTCCACTAGGGGCCTCTTATGAACATGTGCCAATATCTCTTCGTCTGCTATTCCTTCTGGTTGCTCTACATATTTTCTTTGCTTCTCATTGAATTTCACTCGATTCAGAGTTCGCAGGGGTAGTGCCTTTCCTACCTCCTCTCCTCTCTTAACCATTATTGTCTTGTGGGCCATTATTGTCATAATGGGCACTAATTCAGCTGCCTCTACTACTGCCTCACACATTCTCTTCTGGGCCCTTCTCCTCTACAGGGGAGCAATTGCAAGGGTTCCTTTCCTCATTCTCTTCCCTGTCACCAGTCTACCTTTACCTGATACTGCTGTTCTAGGGGGCAGCCTTATATCTTCCTACAACACTATTGTTATAACTTCTTCTGGTGGATCTCCCAATGGCGTTCTCTCACCATTTACTACCAACACAGTGGGGTTAAACTCTATATGAGCCTTCTGGCTCTGAAGCCAATCTTCTCCCAAGATTGCTTCTGTACATAGATTGTGTGTTATGTAGAAATTCTGGGTACTTCTCAATTTTCCTATTCTCACAGGAAGCCTCGCCATCCCTTTTATCTCCAGGGGGCCTGTGTGATCTCTATATCTACTTTTCGTATCCCTTCCTTCTGTTTTACCCACCTGTATTCTCTTTCCCTCAGCAATGAAACAGATGCTCATGTGTCTATCAGAACTTTCATTGCCATACCCACTATTTTCACCTTACAAGACAACTCCTTCTCTTGTGTTAATGAAGTGAACATCTTAGCCTTCCTTCTCCTAGGTTCCCATCTCTGTGTTATCCCAGCCATAGGTGCTGGCAGCAACAACCTCCCGTCATCCTCCTCACAAAGGGATGTTCTTTGTCTTTTCTGCCTGGGTGGTCCCGACTGGACCCTTCCCAGTTTCTTTCTGCCATTTCTGAAAGCACAATACCTTTTCAGGTATCCTGGTCTTCAACAAAACCAGCACCTTCTTGTTGGGCAGTTAACTGCAAAGTGGCCCACCTGACCACATATCCAACATTTCATGCTCCTTCTTTTTAACTGGGCCACCCTCCCTCTTATTTCCAGGGTGGCCCGCTGACTTTCCCCTGGTCCTGTCTTTCAGGTGCAGCCTTCTTTAATAATATTGGTGGGGTACCTTTCCTTATCCCGCACCACTTAGCTAGTTGTCCCTTCTTCCCACACCTAGTACATCTATCCTGATCAAAGTCTGGGGGCAATCCCGACTGTGGTCCTCATACCCACATGTCCATCAGACTAGTTTGTATCAACCCGGAGTGGGCTTATAAAACCTATGCCTTGTCGACCAAGCCTTTCTTTTGGAATTCTCTTCCCATACCTCAGGCTCTTCTACCTCCTGCTTGACCCTTTGATTCCACATGGGGCTTTCTCTTTCCTTCCCTCTTTCTTCCAACCTCCAAACTTTGCTCTTGTGCCTTCCTACTCCTTACTTTCTCCCAAACTCCCTGGCTCTCTTTAGCCATCGCCACTGCCTCCAACAATCTTAGCCGTCCTTCCTTCATTACGTCATGGCGAATACGCTCGTCACTGTGCGCTTCTTTATATAGATCGGCCAACTGGGCCTGCATTACTGCATTGTGTCTTACTTCCTCTGGGAAAGCTAATGAAGACAGCTTCTCCACTTGGGTTCCTAATTCTCCAGGGGTTTCGTCTTTCAGCTGCGCCATCTTCAGGAGGGGTCTCATGGCTTCTATCACTGTCCCCTCATCAGCAAATTCCTAAGTCAGTAATACCTCTAGCCTCTCCCATGACAAGTGGGGTTCACTGGCTAAGAGCCTCTTTACGAACTCTGACGCTTTCCCTCTCATGGCATCATATTCCAAATACAAGGTTTTTGACCAAGAGTCCATAGACTATGTGGCTCTTATCTAGAGTTGCCAACCAATCTCTAAAATTTCTTGAATTACCATCAAAGGCTGGAATCCTATGTCTGCCCAACAATTTCCTCAGGTCTACTGGCAACCTGGGTTCAACCCCCTCTTCCTCTACATCTACCCAATTCTAAACAAAAAAACACAATCAAGAGCAGCAACAATCGAAAAATTATTGGGAGATTAACTGAAAAAACGTGTCTCACCTGACAGTTGATTTCCAGGTCATTCCTCTGTGCTTCTGGGCTGTTGATCTAGAGGGTCTGGAACTGTATGGTTATAATTTATCAAAGTCCTTTGGTTCCCACTCTAGACTGTTTCCATTTGTCTACTTGAGACGCCATGTGTTGTCCTGGGTGAAATTCTCTGCAACTCCTGTGGCAGTGGTTAGTTTAGGGTCGAATCTTGGTCATGGCACCAATATGTGACACTGAGCTTCGGCCCATGGTCAACTCTCAGTTGCAGCACAAAACTGTAATGTTTCTTCCACCGGCATTTTGGGGTTGACTCTTAGTTGCTGCCATCAGCCTGTGTTCCAGTTGATCGTGGTCATCGTTACCTGGCGGAATCCCTTGGTCAGGGTACCGAGTGGGATGGTCGGTTGATGCTAACAGCTCACACCAGCTGCAACCGGTTCGACATCAATTCCGTTGTTCCCAGCTCACTTCCAACGTCTGGTTACCGAAGTAACTGATTCGATCTCAAGTCTAACCTACCCACGTTGTGATTTTGATCTTAGGCAGACAAGATCAATCAGGCATTGGGCTGTACTTTAAGACTGGTGGTGATATCACACAAGTGTAAAGAAAAAAAAAAGTATGATAAAAAATAACAAATCAACTTTATCCGTCTGTCATATACAGGAGTGTGTTTTTCCTCCCAGCTCATTTTCAACTCTGACTGAACAGTCACTGTCGAATGGCCCGAGGACATTCGTTTATATGGGTATCGACTAAAAACCGGTGCAAGGTTAGATGCATTCTGGGGTTTTTTCAGTAAACCTCGATTTCCCACAAGAAATCTCTTTGTTACCAGGCTAGGCAAATTTATTACTTCCCATTTTTGGAAAATTAATCACTTTCCATTTTGTGGGGATCTCCTTGTCCATGAGGAGAGATCGGAGGAGAGCTATCCTCCTAAACTCTCCCTCTCTCACATTGATACCTAGGACCAATCCCTTTAGTGGGCATTAATAACTTCCCAGTCCTCATCAAATTACCTCTGCCTATTACCATTGCTACCACTCAACCAATAGCATCCTGGCCGTGCGGGTGTGGCTAAGCTGGCCTCCTTAAAATTATAACCCAGAATTTTTGTTTACAAAATTCTTTTTTTTCCATTGGCCAAAATTTTTACTAATCCCACATTGCCACTTAAAATCTCTCAGATCTTTTGGTTATTCTGCGTCTTCTTAACCAGCACCCTTTACAAATTCCATCAATCACTTGTCAAAGTCTGCCATCTGGTCCCTTCATGAAGTTAGCTTTTACTGGAACCCTTGGCTTCATGAAAAATTAAATTCCTTATCTCCCAAATCACAATTCTTCCATGATATCTTTTCTCGTGCCCAAAATCACCATATTGCTACTCAACATGTTGGCACCTGAAGATGACACTTTGGAAAAGTAAATAATAACAATTCTCTCCAACTCGTATCGGAATAAAATATTTCTCATGCCGAAATTCCCACAAATACCATATGGCTTTGCCTTGCCGACACTCAAAAAATATATCTTGGGAAGACAGTTAATATTGATTCTCTCTACCCCGTATCGGCCGAAATTTTTATGCCCGCCATATGGTCTGCCCGATATCTCAATCTCTCAGCAAGCATTCTTTTTTTTACAAACAACATTAATCAATTTGTCAAAATCTCACATATGGCTTTTCTACGCATCTACTGTCTATGCTAATTTACAGGACTTTGTGAAAAGTAACTTTTTTTGGAAATAAAATAAAATCTTTTTAATATCATATATCTTTCAAGATATCTTCTTTGCATTCTCAGTATTTCTTGTTTTAATTTCTATTACCATAGCTAAATAGTGTTACAGTAATATTTTGTACAGCTAACTTATAAGAGTCACTTGGAAAATGTTTGGCACTACATGAAAGAATATCTGAGTTAGCATAGCATAAAAGAATTTATTCGTTATTAGAACTGTAATAATAATAAATTCCAAAAATCAATTAAAAAATAATATTTTTTCACATTACAGTGTTTTTATTCATTTATTGTTAAATAAACAACAATGTATTTTGTTGAATTTTATTTTTGCTTATCAGATTTTGGGTATTGAGAACCCAAAAGGTGAAAAGAAGTACATTGCTGCTGCTTTCCCAAGTGCTTGTGGTAAAACAAATCTTGCTATGATGAATCCAACATTGCCAGGTTACAAAATCACTTGTGTTGGTGATGACATTGCTTGGATGAAATTTGATCGTGAAGGAAAACTGAGAGCCATTAATCCTGAAGCTGGCTTCTTTGGAGTTGCTCCAGGTAAGTGAATATTTGGATATTTATATTATAAAAGAAAAGATAAGCCTCCATCTCTCTCATTTTGTGTGTGTAGGACTTTGTATACACATGCATAATATATATGCATATATCTCTGTTGTGTATGAGTGACTTATATGTGCTTGTTCCATTTAATGCACACACAAGCAAATGCACATACACATACAATTTGACTGATACATTCCCCTCTCACTCAGTCTGGACAACCCCTAATCTGGGCTGAGCAATCATAAACATAGAGATAAGAAAGAAAAAAAAAAGAAAAGAAATTTATCAACAGCTTAATTTCTGTCAAATTCTTTTATTTACATGTTTATATGGTAAAATAAAAAAAAAATAATTAGCTTTTCTTTTTCTTACCTTTTAGTATCTTACTGATAATTATTTCACTCTGTTTCTATCTATTGACATCAGTCTATTCATGTATCAATATCGGTTTATTCATGTCTATTTGTTAGTGCCTGAAAAGTATAGAGATTGCCACAAATTAAATGTCCAGTTTATTACTTATGATGATAAAGTGAATTTAGGTTAAGTTAAAAATTAAATAATGGCCATGAAAGTGAATTCAGGTACAAATGGAATGAGAAGGAAATTGGTACAACTAATTTCATAGTGACCCATTAATTTTTTGACTTGTATAATTAGTAGATTTTATTGAACTTTTCAGAAATTATTTGGTAATAAATCTTTTTAAAGGTTTTTTTTTTAATTTGGAGCAAATATTTTTCAGTCTGTCTTTGAATTAAAATATAAATATACACACACACACACACACAAACATGCATACACTCGTAATCTGAATGAAATTGAAATGGATATCTGTGTCTCAAGGGGCAACCTCTTAACCAAAATAAAACATATAAGCCAAAATATGCAGCCTTTTCATGAACCCTTTCTGAAGCAATATATTTTATAATAAATATTTGTCCATTTAAAATATTTGAAATTAATCATCTTGTCATCAGTGATGTAATGGGTTACCAAACTAGCTTATCTATTTAAAAAGTATGAAAACTAATACCTCAAAACATAATTGTAATTTATTGTGGATTATAGGTACCATTAAAATGTAGGCTTTTTTCCAAATGAAAGCAAAAAATCACTATATCCCATTTTAAAATATTTGCCAAAAATCAGGGAATTATTAGATTCAAATTTTCAGTACTTATTCATTAATGAATGAATTGCATACTGAATAGGTTATTTTATTAGAAAACTTTGTGGAAATATTTTTGGTAGAATCTGTTTCACCCTACCCATTTGATATCTGTATTTTTTAATTTATCAGGGTAGTTTTCATCCAATTTGTGTAATGAAGGAGTTGCTGAAGGAAGGCATTGTCTGCCTAATGTGAAAAGAATTTGTGTGGCAACATGCATATTTTGTAGCAATGTAATGCCGATCATCTCACACGGTGTCAACTGTAATGTGATCTCTGGTCAAGGCATCCATGTGACACCATATCCTAACCCTACTAAGCCAACATCATCCACAAGACTGGCCATTAGTTCTGTATGGTCCAGTATTACAGGTTAGACCTTTGTCTCCAGTTTCAAATGTTGATTCGATTCCACTCGCCAGCCATGTTCTCATTTTTTGATCCTGGCGAGTAATTATCAGGTCGTAGAATTCTGAAAGCTCTCCATTGGTCTACCTGCAAGCTTGTTGGGTGAGAATCAGGTTAACAGCAAATAAATATGACCAAGTCGATCCAATTTTAGAGGGACAAAAGTTACATATATATATATATATATATATATATATATATATATATATATATAACACATCAACAATACATATAATAATACAATTCTTATGGCAAAAGTTGAATGTCTCTTGTATATGAATGATGATCAACAAAACAAAAAATACTTTGTGTAATTTTGTTAAAGGAGAAAGGTGGCTTCATTTTAACCCTTTTTGGTCTGTTCTTAGCATAACTACTACAACTGTCTATGTTCCCATCCTTAGTAGTAGTAATAATAATATTAGTAGCAGCAAGAGTACTTATATCAACAGCACATGTTAGCAGACACTTTGTTCCAATCACTGACGTCACTTCCTCACTGTCTCTAACCCAACTTTGCTCTGCTCTCTCCGCTCTGTTCTGTCTACTCTGCTCTTTATATAAAGAATTGGTGATGTATTTGTTTTTCTAGTGTGAATGTACTAACATACTTTTATTAGGAATGGGTTGACCCATTTCCCGATGCACTTCTAAATTAAAAAACTTCACACTCGTTTCATCTTTCAGTACCCTGACTGCTGTCATTGTTCTAAGTTTGTCTATTAAGCAAACTGAGCAATTTTGGTAAACTTACATAGATTCATGCTGTCTTGTTATTGATAAAACAAACCTTTAGATCAAGACATTCTTAATTCTATCTTCTATTAATAATCTGATATCTTTTGTACTCTTAAAGAGAAAAAAAAAGATTGTATTTTGTGTTCTAAATTAACTTTCTATAACATTTACATTTCAAAGTCTTTACAGCATTTTTAACATCTTGGTTCTTTTGAAAATGCCTTTTTTTTCCTGTTTTATAGCATATTTTCCTTTATTATCATTATTATTATTTCAGGATGATATTGTGTCTCTTTTCTTTTTTCTTTGTTTTGCTTTCTTTTGATTTCAATTTGTTTTTACAGTTATGCAAAATGCTTGAAGCTGTTTTTTCAGTAAAACATTTATGCAATATCAATGTGAACTTATGGAAGTCATTAAAACTTAAAAATTTAATAAAAATACATTTTTTTTCAGATTAGACAGAAAAAAATCTACACTTTATATTTATTTTTATTTTGTTTTTAAATTACTTGTAATTTTCCAATGTGATTTTGAAATTCATCACATTGCTTTTTGTGAGAGGTTCTTTTTATTAACTCAAGACATTTGTGAACTTTTTAAAATAATTTAATTTTTTTTTTTTTCATTTTAGCAACAGTTAGATTATTTTTGGTATGGATGTTCGAAAAGAAAATAATTCTGGATTACTGCCTTTGACTGCATTTCCCTATTAGAAATTAATGATATGTGATAATTCAATAGCTCTTAAATTCAGAATAAATTTTTAAAAAACACACTATTGGGTGCTATTAGATATTTTTTGACATCAAACAGATACAAAAAAAAATAAAAGCAATGTATTAAACCCAAAGGTATCATGACACTAAAAAAAATACTCCTAATGTAGTATAAAAATAAAATTATTCATTCTACCAAGTTTCATAAAATTGTCTAGAATAAAAAAAATTATATTCTTAAACTATTGGTTATATAAAGTTAAAGAAAATTTATTTGTAAACATAAATACCAATGTCTTGATTATTGTACTGTTGGTGATTTGTATTTCTTTCATTTTTATTTTTAATTTTTCACACACTTTTTAATGAGTATGATTATACATTTTATTTTTGACCTATGATCCCACAGGCTATCCTTCATAAATAAACATAAATGTTTTCATTGAGTTTTAAGTAAAACATAAACATTACTTTTACAAAATCCAGTTAATTAATCATTAAATTTACTAAATGACTCTAAAATATGTCCCTAGAATAAATATTGGATTTTTAAGAGAGATTTAAATTTGTTGTTTACATTTTGTATCTATAATGGCATTTCACTGAATCAATGTGTGATGCTAATGTTTTAAAAATGCCTAAAACTTTGTTTATATATAGAAATTAATTTTTTTAATTTGGATTAGCATTCAAATAAAATTGAAATTTATGTTACAAGAAGACATTTAAATTATTTAAAATGTATTTTTTGGGTTATATTAGGTCTGTGGTGCTATCTAGTGGATTAACTGGCCAAAAGATATGCTTAACTTTCTTGATACATTTCTATGCCAAGAGAATATTTTCTACATATACAAAAAATGAAAGTAATTTTGTAAGATGTACTTAATCAGACAAGAAAGTGGTGATCAATTTTGCTAATAATTTAATATTTATTCCCATTATCCTTAAAGTATGATTGAATTTGTCTGCTGTTACTTCTAAAAAAAGATTCCTTTTTGCCTGAAAACTGAATTCTTAAAGGGTAGGTTGGAGGTGAATTTTATAGAATCTAGTAAACAAGACAAAAAGTGGTGGGAACACTTGATTTAGATGTTTTCTTTATCTGATTGTGCTTTACTTTTGGATAGAAAAAAATGTAATAAAAAACTTAATGGATGAACATTTAACAAAACTTCAAAGCATAAACAACTCCAGTAAATTTGAATTTCTGCAAGTAGTTATGTTGGACTGTATTTACATTGACCCAAGTTTGCCTTCATGAAGCCTTTAATAAGGAATGGTACATCATATAGCTCCCTAATCAATACAGCAAGTGCTCCTGCAAACAGTGAGTTTAATTTCAGAATAAATGATACTTATGTACGGAAGAAAATGCTGATATACCTCGAATTCCAATGTCACATTTTTTGTGAAAAAAATGCCTCTCCACTGAATGAGGTCAATGAAAATGTAAATCAGTTTCACTCTTCACAAGCTAAACATTCCAAAGTAAATAGACTGTTGTGGAGAACATGTTAATCAATTTAATTGCTTTGTGAATAGAAAAGCTTAGTGAGACTGCTTTAAAATCTGAAATGTTCTGAGTTAGTAGCAAACCACACTTTTTGGGTCAGTGGTTACAATTATCATCTCTCAAATAGTGTCTTTGTCTTCAGACAGAACACAAATAAATGAGAGATGTGCAGTCCCAGGAATTCTAATCATGCGGTAGCACCTCCCTCATTATACCAAATCACAAGAGTTGGTGGTATATCAGTGCCAACATGACAGTGTTTGGAGTTACTGGGCAATTCTTGTATACACATTTGGGCTCCACACTTTAAACTAGCTTTGTGCCACATTCCACTACAGGGGGATGTAGCACAAAGTAAACTACTCTTTTGTGTTGGTAGCTACATTTTTATTCCCCAATTGTGTCTTTGTCTTTTGAAGTTAATTTGACTACAGTAAATGGATATATAGTTTGGTCAACAGCATAGACAATGCTCATTTTATATCTTGTGTATGATGAACCTCCACTTAAAATTAACTTCAAAATTAGGTCTTCAAAAGCTGCAGGATACATGAGTATATATGGTAAATAATAGTTATAAACAGACTTGAGGTGGCTGTAAGTGAGTGACTTTTTAAGAAATTATTTTTTTTAATTATCTTTTACAAGCTATTTTGGCAATTTTTAAGACATGGCAGACAGGTCATTTGACCTAAAACTGATTCCCAAATTTGACAGCTTGAATGGCTCAAAAAAGTAGAGCTTATTTACAGAATGTACAAGATCAACAAACTGGGATTCATTATTCTACTGTACCTGAGCATTTAGGCATTTCACCATGTATAAACAGTTTAGTGAGGAGAAGTCAGATGTTATACAAATAAAGAAAGCTCTACAAGCTGTTTTTGATTCATCATCTGCACCTTGTCGATGTATATCTTGCAGACTTGTGAAAGCTTGTTTTATTGTTTTACAGGATATAGGAACATGTGCTTTTGTGACTGGACTGCCAAAACATGAAGCACACATTGCAGGCATCATTGAGCATGGACAAGATGATTGTAAGCCAATTGTTGCTTAGGGCATATGAAATTATGCAGAATGAAATGACAATTGAAAAAATATTTGCAAGATATATTTACCCTTCACTAAGTGTCTTGCCAACATTAGCTGTCATAAGTTGCCTGGACCTAATCACTATGCTAAGGATTGCCAATATTGACCTGCAGGTTCACACATCAGCTATTCACAAAGGCCTACCAATAAGTACAGTGTTTTTAATGTTGAGAATTAGGTCATATACCTGTGCAGTGATAAGGGACAAGACATTGGTGCCAGTCTCTTTCCCACAAAAGAAATAAAGTGGGCAATTCCAGTGATAAAAATGCACATAAATGGAAGCCATGTATGATATTGATTGATTTGAGAATGATTTGCCTGGAGCAAAAAGAATATGAATGTGCTAATGACCAATGGACAGGTCCTTAAAAGTTTAGGTATTGGTACCATAGAGCTAAAGATAGATGACATGAACCCAGTTAAATTCACAGTCTTAGATGTAAAGCTGTGGACAGTAAATTGCTGGGATTCGACCTGATCAGAAAGATGGATGCAAAGATCTAGAATGCAGCCTGGAAATTGACTGACAAATGATTAACCACTGGAGCAAAATGCACTACCTGAGTATCCCATGTCTAAACAAGTTGGAAAGAAATATAAATGTGACTTGCATACATGGCTAGACAACGGATGATTGCTAACCTAACCCCAAAAAAGAATTTAGGTCTTCCAAAGGGCCTAACCCTATTGATGGCAGTGGTGCAAGGGAATAAGAAGGTGCATATCCAGTGTTGGACTACTGTAAGCTGAACAAATACATTGATGCTCACACAGCTGATGCCAATGTGTGCACATAAGGAGTGGTGACAAAAAAAAGGTCCAATGTCTCCATTCCTCATCTGCAGAAAATTTACTTGAAAGTGTGCATACACAAGTCATTGTGACCATTCCAGATGCTGCTCTTCATGGGGCAATATTGTTTAACACAAAGGTTTGAACTGAATGTGACGCCAGCAATAATGAAATCAATTGTGGATGCAGTACTTTCAGATGATACCATTCAACAGGCATCACCAGCATATACAGATGACATATGATGATGAAAGTCTCTATTGCATGTGTGCCATAGATACTTATCAACATTTAGTCAACTACTAGTTGACATGGAAGGTATCAGTGTGGTTAAAAAGTGAGGCTCAAGTGCTTGGCTTGTATGTCTGGGGTCAGCACAACACACTTTATTAGGAGTATAAAACTGAGGTTCCAGATGTGCTGGAACTGATAATCGATGGTATGATATTTTTGCTGTGTAAGGAAACTGATGGGGCACCTCCCTCTCTGTTTGTGGCTGTCTCAGAGTTACAACAACTTTTATCAAATGCAGAGAAACAGTAGTTACAAGGTGAATATGATCCACCTCTTAAAAATATGATCACAAAACTTATTGCTAAAGTATATCACAATGACCCTGCATGCGGCAAATCATACTCACTAAAGATATCATTCCAAAAAAGTATTAGTCAAAATCTCTTTTTTTCCATAAAGTAGGAAAGTATTTGATAATTGATTTCTTATGATTTATTTATGTTAATTGAATTTCAGGAACATCCTATAAAACTAATCCAAATGCCATGGAAACTATTCAACGGAATACCATTTTCACCAATGTTGCTTCCACTAGTGATGGTGGCTTCTTCTGGGAAGGCTTGGAGGAAGAAAATTACAAAGAGGTTGAAATTTCTTCTTGGCTTGGAATCAATCAGTGGTCTCCAGAAAGTGGGCGTACAGCAGCTCATCCAAATTCTAGGTAAAATTTCTGCTTCTTTTGCATATTCTTTTTGTTCAAATATCTAAAATAAAATAATAATAATCTTTTTGTTCTTTAAATTGAATAATGCTTCCTCGGTTATCTCTTTATCCATTAATAGTTAATGCCTATCAAAATACCTACAATATTCATAATGCTTTTACTATTTCTGCAGACTTTAAAGAAAATATTCTGATATGAAAGTTTTACTGCAGTTCTCAATCTATTATATTGGAAATGCAAATTTCAGCATAATATATATTAAGTAGTTATTATAGAAATATATTTTACAGACAATTTTAGAGCAGTTATTATAGATAAGAACAAAGCAAATTCTTCCAAATTCAAAATAATGCTTTTATTTATCAAGTATGTCTAAATTTTAACCAATTTCTTTATATCCTTAGCCAAATTTATTATTGAACTATATTGTACTGTCAAACTGCAAAAGTGTAGAGGATTTTTAGATTAATTATAAACAATTTGATGTTAACCAACTACAGTAACTACTTCTTTCAAAGTTTGAAAAACCTTTCAAGCTAATTTTATATGAAAAAATAAAAATTATATCTATAGATACTTTTGAATTTTGACTGAGTCACTACTGATGGTATTGCACATGGATATGTCTGTAATATGTATATAACCTTAATCTTTCTGCATCAAAAGCATTTTTAACAAATTCATTTGGTAGGTTTTGTACTCCTGCTAATCAATGCCCAAATATGGATGAACTTTGGGAAACTGCTGAAGGAGTGCCAATTGATGCTATTATATTTGGTGGCCGCAGACCTGAAGGTAAAGTCCTTGCATTTCAAGAGCTTGTCAACTTTTAATCCAACAAGCATTTTTTAGCTAATAAAAAAAAAATGTGATTATGATTTTTTTTTATGGCAATCACAGAAAATGGTTTTAGAAGATTGATGAAAATTAGATGAAGTGTTCAGTGTAAAATATTCCTTTGAATGAAGTATTTCTCATCTTATTTGTTTATTAACACAAATAAAATTCAACTAATATCTGCATTAACTGAAAAAACAATTTTAAAACTGTACTTTTAACATAAAACTTGAAAAATATGTTTATTTATGCAAACTATCAATTTGCAATTTATGGTTACTTGTGAATTTATCCAATAAGTGATGCTAGAAGTATTTATTGCGAACTTATGTTCCACATTTTATAAAACAGTACTATTATTTGTTTGTCTCTAATATGAGGTGAGCAGTATCGCTCTCTGCCTCTTCTTTTTGGTAAAATTATACCCAGTCCAAGTCTACCCAGAACAGTTGAATCATGTGCATGTTACTATTACAAAATTAAGAAAAAAAAGCAATGGTAGAAGGTTAATATAATATAAGCTTTACTTACCATTTTCTGATAGAAAAACGTCCTAATTTAGGGGTCTAATCATTCTCTACTGCTTAATTGTGATATTGCATAATAACATTATATAGAGCTCATAAGAAAGTCTTAATATTTTAAATTAACTTTGACCCTGGTGTATATATAATTAACCTTTTGTTTCTCCTCCCCATCTCATTTTATTCTTTTTAAATTTTTTTCCTCCCCTTTTTAAAGTATTATTAAACAATACATTTGGTACCTCTTTGGTACCCACATTTTCATCCCTTATCCCACAAACAATTCTGTCCCTCATTATGATCCTTTCAGTATCCCAGAAGTTACAGACCTCCGACAAGTGCTTTAAGTCAGCCACAAAATCTGCTACTGTTTCGTCTTTTCTCTGGGCCCATTCGTAGAACTTAAAATGTTGGACTAATTCAGACAGTTGTGGTTTCTTAAAATTTCCGCTATTTTTGAATATTTGTTGGTCTCTCTGGAACTACTAAATCCCGAACAAGCTCATGTTGTATGACCTATCACGCTTAATAATATGGCTTTCCTCCTCTGTGTGTTCTCTGGGATATGCTGTAAAGTACAGTTCCCATCTTTCCATGTTATTGGGACCACTTCTCGGACCCCACATATTCTTCCATTTTGCCATACGCAGTCATTATAATTCGTTCAAGGAGGAAAATGTGAAGATATTTTTTTAAAACCCAAAACAAAACAGCTGAAATAAGCAATCCTAGCTGCTTTAGCGACCCTTAAAATTGTTTAAACAATTTTAAGGGTTGCTAAAGCAACTAGGATTGCTTATACCTTACTTGCTTATTCCTTACTTGTTTTCTCTAAGAGTTTGCTTCTGAAGTGTTAATGTACTTATGGGACTATAAAAGTTCAATCACCTGGTCGTTGCCACTTTTTATATCCAGTTATCAACATGGAGTCAGTGGATAGGGTTTATTCAATACAGCGTGCAGCCTTTTTCTACAACATGAAATAAAGGGGGAACAACGCTTTATTGATTAGTGATGGGGCTGATAATAGGGGTTTATTCGCTGTATACAACATATAGCAAAACTGAAGTACAGTAGGTTTATTTTCCCAGTCAATATCTATAATCTGTTAAACTTTGTTGTTCATATTTTAACCAGCATAAACCAAGCCCAACAAATAAATTTAAATTCCTTCCATTTTCTTTAAATTTTACTCCCACCCGGCTTCTCGTTTATACTCACCTGCTTATAATCCTGTTTTGTTCTGTACATGCTTGAGTTGAGTTGAGTCTTTGTTAGATACACACACACATACACTGTATATACTCATATATCATGCAACCTTTGAAGACCTAATTTTGAACCTATTTTAACTACAATAAATGGATAGATAGTTTGGTCAATGGCATAGCCAGGGCCAGCAGTACATACACTAATTTTATATCTCGTGTATGCAACCCCCTTTAAAATTAGCTTCAAAATTAGGTCTTCAAAAGTTGCATAATACGCAAATATATATATATATATATATATATATATATATATATATATATATATTAAATAACAATCCTTCGCAAGGGGAAAACGTTACAAAAGCTAGAATGACCAATCAAAATACAAGTATAGGTAAATTCAAAAAGCTTGACAACGAAGTCATGTTAAGATCTTTAAAATACAGGTAATATTAAAAAAGAATTTATTCTAACCAATAATTATTAAATTATATGATAAAATTTGATATTAAAATTAAAAACTGCCAATTTTAAAATCCAAATTTAATCACTATTAAGTTTAAAATTATAAAATTACTGAGGAGAAAAGGAGAAATACAGATGTTATTCAATTTATTTCTTCGTTGAAATTACGTTAGAATAGACGTTATTTCATCCAGTCCTCTGACAATATATATGTATACATTTTAATCCCAAGTGTAGTGATTTTATAACATATTTATGTTATAAATTTTTTTAAATAAATAATTATATATATATATATATATATATATATATATATATATATATATATATACCATTTATCAATAGATAGCGGAACCAAAATTTATTTTTATGCTTTCACTTCTGATCAATAATCTCCTCTGATCAGAAAACACAGTGATATTTATGTAGCAGACATAGTGAACCAAAACCCGAGTTGAGGAACGGAAGTGGTGAATGGTATTTTGCTGGCATCTTGAAGTGAGAGAGTTGATCTGGCTATGGCATGTAGGACTTCTATTTGAGAGAAGGTGAGTGCCTTGTTCCATCAAACGAGACCATCTTGGAGAAAAGAGTGAGTTCTGTTGGGGTACATCGTATGATACGTGCAGTTGTGACAGAACGAACGAACAAAGTGGATATAAGGCAGAGAACGACGATAAATACCAAGAAACTGGTGTAGGAGGAAGAAACGCCCAATCTGAAATTGCGTCCAACAATAGAGTCACTAATTTCTTTTGACCACAACTTAATTTCTCTTTTCAACACAAATTACTTTTTTTTCACTCTTCCATTAAAGCAAATACCTTTTTCACAGATTACGAACTCACTTCAGATGTTTATTCACATTTATCCTTCTCTTCCCATATATACCTTGATAGTTTCTGTCTGGATTTCTGGCATGAGCAGTTGCCATTATTTATATGCTGATTAATATCCAAATTGTTACTCTGGCATTTAATTATACCTTCCTGCTTGCTTTAGGTGTCTGTCAATCCAGATAACTTTTAGAAAATTTCAAACATTTAATCTACAGGGGTAGATTTTCTCATTCTACTCTCCAAGTCTAGTGATATTTGTGTTTTTTAGTGCTTGTCCTGTTTTTGTAGAATCCAAATTTATGCTACTCGGCCCAAAGATTGAACTCACTATATAACCAAATTCACTAATGAACACAGTAACTGTCTAGGTAATTAATCACCCTCTAAATGACAGCTTTTCTATTCCTACAGTTACAGAAGGTGGAGTTAGAATTACTATTATAATTAGTATCTTTTAAAGGAATAATTGAACTTGAAGTTACCTTAACAAAAGCTTTAATGAACAGAACAAAGTGACCCATTACATAGCAAACAACAAATTTTAGAAAAACCAAAGTTCAAAGAAGCAACAAATATGCCTACCACCAGTAAGATGGATCGTCGTACATCTAGTTGAATTAATATCAACAATAGGATACCAACTCCCGCAGACAAGTGAATCTCAATAAGGAAAAAACAACTAGCCTTAATGGAGATTGTGTAGGTAATTCAGTTCGCCCATTGTTTGCGATGACTGAAATGGATTAAAGTGCTTGCTTTCTTTTCCGGTCATATGCTCTACCAACTGAGTGACCTCTTCCTTATTCTCTCGTTCTCATCAGTACACACATACGCTGTCATGCCAACAAACGTTCTGCTGTCTTCCTCACAGACTCGCTATTTATGCCTGCATTGGGGGCAACTAAAATTTGCATATGAGACTTACTTCTCATTCGCCCGAGACTTCTAATTTTACAAATTCAAGCTGGTTTGAATTCTTAGTCTTTTTTTTGGATGTCTGCCCTTGATATAGGAATTTTGGAATAATCCATTTCTCTTAATATGCTGGTTGCAATCTTTCAACAGGACCTGACATGCCAAACAAATTTGCTTTGTGAGAGGTAAGTCTTCTCGTTCCTCACACTCCCCCCTGATCTCATGATCACATAGATGACAGTGAGGGGAGAACACCTTCGATGAACACTCCTTTGTAGAGGTGGAGGGGATGCTTCTGGTGACAATACTGCCATGTCTATGTTCTGCGGGTCCTTGGCATTTTCAGTGTCATCACAACCTTCCTTGTCGTCCAATCTGTACTCTCTGATACAGGGAGCAGACCATCTGACTGCATGGTGCAAAACATTGTTGTCTCCAAATCACTATCAAACGACATATCTTCGCTGTGATGCTTTACTTCTGGGACAGTTAACTCATGTCATTGATGAAGGTTTTTCATGTGGTGTGGAACACCATTGACCCAGACTGTTTGGCAGCTAATAACTCCATCAACTCATCCTCTGCTAAATCTAGTGGTACAACATCCATTTGGGGGCTTGACCCATACAAGAACACCAATTTTATATGGCTCTTTGGTATTCTTTGGAATATTTGGCATTACTTGATCAATCCCCTTTATCCGCTGTCTGTATGTATATATTCCATTGACCAGCGCAGTTGATGGTGTTACATCATCTTTGGGCGTGATGTTGTACCAATACACAGCTTCTTGAATGGGGCACCGTGTTTTGACTGCTATCCTTTTAACCGTGTGTTGACAGTGCTCTTCTATCCCATTACCCTCTGGAGTGTATGTACCTTACTCACACTCCCCATTTGACTGCAAAGTCCTGAAAATCTCGACTACAGAAAGTTGGAGCGTTGTCTGTCAATATTTCAATGGGGGGACCACGTTCATAGAAGATAGCTTGTAATTGTTGTAT